GGGAATGGGGTTCCTGATAACGTGATCACTGTGACAACCAATCACAGTGATGACATCATTGGATAGCTCATGAAACACCTCCCCTGGGGAAGGGGTAAATGGCTTCTGTTTTGAGGCACCTGGAATGCATTTAGCTCATTTAAAATGAGAGTTCAATAGGGCTTTAAGGGAAGACCCTGAAGGTTTACTCCTATAAGTGGGACCCAGTAGGCCAGACTGATGTTGCCACTTCTACCGGCCAAGTTTCTAAAGATACAAATACCAATAGATACCATCTTAAAATAGATTCATTTATCCAGTTCATCAATTATCACTCAAACTCCTTTATCAAAACTTAGCATTTGTAAACTCTTTCTATAAATTTGTGTTCACTGGATTCTTTTTATTTGTATTGATGGTGCTGGTGGAGATTTTCTACCACTTTTGTCTGGTGAACCTGTTGTCAGAGGAAATCTCTCAAATGGTGTCCCAGATGGTAGTAAAACCCAACAGAGGTTCTAAGCCTTCACCACTCAATCCAAAACTAAAAGAAAAGTTTTGGTTGGACTTAGACTTTCATTTTTATCCTAAGCTTGCCCGTGTTTGGATGAAATCTTGATGACTTCTCATAATTAAGAAAAAATAGGACTATCCGGCCAAAATAAAGACATCTGGGAGGTACGTTAATAGAGGATATTTGTTGACCGGCACAAGGTTATCAGGCTGTGGACACAAAGGGGAGATATCAGTGGTCTCCAGGTATACTGTGCCTCAGTGTTCCCTCTTTGCAGGTATCACGGACGCTTTTCAAAAAGCTCATAACCTGTGATCCACCAGTGCCTCTTTCCTGTGGTTCCTGGCCTTCCGTTACTGCTTGGTTTGTCTTCATCCTGGCCCGAATTCCAGCTGCATTCACATATTTGGAAACAATGCGGATATGAAGGGAGCGGATCTCAGTGAGTGCAGAGATGCACTGATTGAAAACGGAGAGAAGAGCTGGATCGTTAGACCTCTGTACATACTCAGGGAGCTTAGGAGCTTCTTGAACCCACCTAATGAAGCCCCTATGAGCTGGTGGCATGTAGTCGCGCATCTTTAGAAGAAAGTCCACTATAGGAGAAAGAAAAACAGAACTTTAATTACTAGTGGACACAGCATCCTGGAATATTTTCCTAACCTAATAGAGAGATCTGTATAGAGCCATGGTAAGCTTTCATATGCACCCCGAAGACGCAGTAGCCACCCCTCCATAAGTAGAGACCTTGGCTAACCTTACTTTCTCAGCAGATGTATTGCCCTAAGCCTTGTCTTATCATTCCTGATGTGTACTTAAAGGGGGTGAGTGGTGCCTTAGGGACCCCAAAACTCCATCCCCTCCTACTCCTAACCCCCGCAAGAGAACATTTACAAAAAATACTGTGTATGTCGAGGGTGCAATCAGAAAGTAAATTTGAAGTGACAAAAGCATGCAATGTCACTGCATCTCTCATAGGACAGCAAGTGAAGGGACGAAGATAGGCGGTTGTTTTTGCAAATTTGCTTTATTAGCCTGGATATATTAAATGAGGCAAGGTATATAAAATGCAGTGGCAGACCTAGGGAACAAAGGACCCTGGTGCAAGAATTATCCCCCACGTCTCTTACAATGCCCGCACTGGCCACCTGAGAGCCCCACTGACAACCTGAAAACCCACACTGGCCACCTGAGAGTCCGAACTAGCCACTTGAGAGCCCCACTGACCACTTGAGAGCCCCATTGACCACCTGAGTGCCTGCACTGGCCACCTGAGAGCACGCACTGGCTGCCTGAGAGCCTCACTGACCACCTGAGAGCCCGCACTTACCAAGCCCACACTGGCCACCTGAGAGCCTGTACTGGCCAATTGGGAGCCCGCACTGGCCACTTGAGAGCCCCACTGCCCATCTGAGAACCTGCACTGGCCACCCGAGAGCCCGAAATGGCCACCAGAAAGCTCAACTGACCACCCGAAAGCCCGCAAAGGCCACCTGACAGCCCCACTGACCACCTGAGAGCTCACACTAGCCACCTGAGAGCCAGAATCGGCCATCTGAGAGCCCCCCTGACCACCTGAGAGCCCGCACTTGCCCCCTAAAAGCGCCACTGACCACCTAAAAGGCCACACTGGCCACCTGAGAGCTCGCACTGGCCACCTGAGAGCCCCACTGACCACATGAGAGCCCTACTGACCACCTGAGAGCCTGCACTGGCCACTTCAAAACCCAACTGACCACCTGAAAGCCCACACTGGCCACCTGAGAGCCCCACTGGTCACCTGAGAGCCCCACTGGTCACCTGAGAGCCCGCACTGGTCACCTGAGAGCCCTCACCTGAGAGCCCGCACTGGTCACCTGAGAGCCTGCACTGGCCACCTGAGAACCCGACTGACCACCTGAGAGCCCGCACTGCAGCATGATTTCGGCTGTGGGTCTGTAATCAGGTGGCTGCTCCCTGGGTCCCCCCAGCCAAGGCCCTAGCGCTGCTGCATAATGTGCCTGCAGGGCTGCTCTACGGAGTATTTATGTATTTTCGCCTCCCGGCTCCCTCCTCACTGCCGGGCGGCCAGCACCCCCCACCGTCTCTTGCAACACTATACGGCCACTGGACTCATGCCTGGGTCTACTGGGCCCCCGTGGGCTCGGGCCCTGGTTTAGCCTCATTGGCGGTAGTTCTGCCCCTGATAAAATGTATTCTTTAACCTATGGGTAGGTAACCTCTGCCATTAAGACTAATGGTAGGCCTTTCTGACTTACAGCTATTAGGCTTATGTTGAATTCCCAGCAGTTCATCAAACGCGTGAAAGATTGTGCTCTGTCCTGCACTGCCCCCTGAGAAGTGGAGAGGCTCCTCTGACACACCTTCGTAGATCAGACCTTCTGGCATGTTGGGGTTATCCTTCCATCTAGAAAAAATGGATAGGCATAAAAACAACGATAATTTATACACGAAAGCTTAGTTAGAAAGATATACTTCTGAGCTGAGAAATCTTAGTAACGTATCTAAACCCAAAAACAAAAATGTTATATATTATACAATAAAACCTTTTTTTGTTTGTTTTGGATGGCGTTGGGAAAGATTAAGCTCTTGGTCAAGTTTTTAACTTTGCCTCTTTACCCATTGGGCAGATTGGCCCCTCTATTTGTACTGGTGACCATGGTCATAGAGAAATAAATTGAGGGGAATTCCCAAGTTTTAGACTTGCCGCCAAAACAAAGGTTGAGGGGAAGTCTTCCAATGTGGACACCTGTTCTGGGGACAACTGTCTAAGAGGGGAATACTCTTCACTTTGGGAGGTTTTCTTCAAAATTCCTGTCTTGCTTTCAGGACAGGGAGTGAAGGGAAATTTCCACAAAGGTACAGAGACAGCAAAAAAAAAAAGTCTGGCTGGGCTTTCTGCTGCCCCCTTTCCTACCAGAGCATCCCAGGTTGCTAAGAGCTCTTAGCAACCTGTAGCGCTCTGGCTGGAGTCCCGCACAGCTCATGGCAACCAGTGATGTCAGTGAGCTGGGCAGGACACTGGAGGTACCACCACCCCCATGCACTGCCAGCACTCTTCCTCCCCCCATTCTCATTGTGCGCCACAAGCACCCCTCCAGGTTTGTCGTGGACCAACAACCCCCCTCCCAAGCCACAGACGGCAGGGGGTCTAGGGATACCCCTGCATGCAGCCACCTGTATATCCTAAACACTGACCCATAACAGGTCCGGCTGCACGAACTTGGGCAAAGACTGTCTGTGTCATAGTGCATGCACCCAGACCTGTGTGAGTGAGCCCATAATCAATCAAAAGGATTTGCAGAGAGGCAACATGATGCATGCAACACGTGAGTGAAATCAGAGATAGGTCAGCTGTGTTCACCTTGGCTGGTGACATTCTAATGTGATATTCTCAACCCATTGACAATGCCATTGCTGACCTTTTTCTGAAATGCTGGTATCCTAGCTTCCATAGTGACCCCTTGGCTTTATTATAATCTGAGTCACTGACCTGGAATAAGTAATTAAAATCAGAAATACTTCAGTGCCTCAGATGTCACTCCGGCTATCTGGCTCTTGTAATTATCCCAGCCAGTGGCAGAACTACCAGGGTCGCAGTGGTCGCAATTGCGACCGGGCCCTGGCGTTCCGCCACTTGGGTGGGGGGGCCTCTTCTTCCTCGCTGGGCCCCCCCAAGTTCGTGCCGCTCCTTCCCTGCCGCACAGCCACTCTCATGTACGGGCGTCTGTGCGGCACGGATGGAGAGGCTGTCTCCAGTCCCACAGAATGTGCTGCAGGTACCGCTGGGCAGCACATTCTGCTGTGTGAGGATCCTCTGCTCTTAGCCCCGCCTACTGGCCGCCGAGATGAGGACGAGGGCCCTGCAGGAGAGCAAAGGTAAGTCTGGTGTGGGAAGTGGGGGGATGCTGGGGATATTCTGTAGTGCTGACTTTTATTATAATGTATTGCTGGGACTCGTAGTCCCGCATAGCAGGTGGTATTTTGCATTGCTGTATGATGATTATACAGCAATTCAGAATAGCTCCAACTATGTAGGACTACAAGTCCCAGCAATGCATTCTATGTTTAAGTAGGGATACACCAGTGCCAATACTGGGCATTTTCACAAGTAGTCATACTCGTGAAAATGCCCCAACACTAAACGCAAATACCGGTGTTCTGTCGAGAATGCCGACGTAGACAAATTTGCCGACCTCAGCATCTGCGCTTGCGCACAGACCAATATTATTGAGGAAACGGATTTATTCACAAAGTATTTCGTTTAAATCATTTAAACAATTCCTTGTTAATCCCGTCTGTTCGTAAGCGCAGATACTGGGTCGGCGTTCTCGACAGAACACCGGCACTAAAATTTTAAACAAGCGGCTGCCTGAGGTCCCGCGCTTGCTGGGGACCTCGGCAGCCTTCATGTAAACCATGAGGTGCCATGGCGGTTGGGAGGGGGCCCTTCATGGCTTCTTGCACCGGGGCCCTGAAGGTTCTAGTTACGCCTCTGATCCCAGCACTCATATATTTAAATGGTATTTCCTGGTGCTTACATGCAGCATACTTATAGTGCCTACATGATATGCTGCCATGCTAGGCACCAGGAGAGGAAAATTACAGGTACGTATGAATCAGTTTTCCATTTTTATTTCATTTCACCATCTTATTCATTTATTTATTTAACTCATTTCTTTGTTACAGGTATGAAGCATGAAAGGATCTAACGGCTCCTATCCTTTGGCTGAACCCACGCCAGAGAAACTCCACAGATGCTGGTCAAACAGGTGCACTTTCACCTGCAAACTCCACATATCCAAGCAGACCGCACTCCAGGGATCTCCAATGCTTCAAGTTTATTGGAAAATCACAGAAAAGTCCACAGCAAGTATAAATAAGCAAGTATACACCTGCACCAGCAACCCCCAACACCTAGAAACTCTTACGCATTTCACCAATAGAGGTCCTCTATGACTAAGCCTGTTGGTGACATGCATAAGGGATTCTAGGTGTTGGGTTTTTTGCGGTACCTTAATTTGTGCCGTAGGATCATTATATAGAGCCATTACCCCCATTAAGTATTTAGGTCCTATGCAATATGGCACCATCAATTTACACAGCACTTTACATACTATTTGTGTGCATTGGTCCTATCTCACATGCATACATACATGCTCTCATTCACACCTGAGCGGTTTGTATCTCAAAAACCTAAGCGCTGCAACGCTCAACAGGAGGAATCCCATTGTTTTCAATGGCCCCTGTTCACACCTGAGTGTTCCATCACGTGCAGCCTGTGGCTCGAAAAAATACATGGGCTAAGTTTGGAACAAAGCCAAGAGTTTTGGCCTCAATAGACTTCAATGGGTGAAAAATGTGTGTAAGGCACATTTTTTCAAGCTATTTTTGCCTTGTAACTAGCTTTGCATTGGCTACAAATAAAATATAATGCTCAAGCCTGAAACGCTAAAAAAAACCAAAAAAAAACCTGAGAAGCTCAGTTCAAGTGTGAGCGGGGCCTGAAACAAAGGTGTCTTCAAAAAAATAAGCAACTGATATTTAAAGCATTGGAACCCAGGAGTGGCCTAGCAAATCATACATCTGTACCATACTATACACTGATCTGAACAATCAATCATCATAGGGCACCCTAATGCGAATAAATATAAGCAGATGTCCACTTGTCCCTCCTGCCCTATTAAACACTGGCCTCCTGCACAAACATAGCACATTGAGTTCCGAAGTTTAAGAGTTACATTTTTTTGTACGGCCCCAGGGGAATATTTAGGATGTTTCCAAAAATAATTGAATTTTCCGGGGAGCTTGAGAAAAGGAGGAGGTAGCTAAAAATATCCTGGATAACAAAGTCTTAAAGCTGAAGAGAAGAAGAAAGAGGATGAATAAATGAAAAGCTGCCTGAGCAGAGAGTCTTTTGAGGTTAGGTGCAGAGTGGGCAATGGCCTGGAAGGACCCCAGCAATTGTACTGTTTGCTGTCTAACTACATAATATACGTAGGGTCCAGGAGCAGCTATTTGGAGGATCCTGGCAGTTGTACTCTGTTCCACATAGATTGCATTAGGACCATAGTGCTGAGAACCCTAGACAAAGGTTTCAATTTAATTTCAATTTGCAGATGTTGTAATTATCTAAAACTGTTAAATTGGAACTCCAGGAATACAATATAATTAATTCTGGCAATGGTCCAACTTGGGTCAATGTAAATGCCCATATCTGATCTCCAGAGGGCCACTGGGGATACTAAATATCACTTTATTAGTCAAGGCTACATAGAGTGATGGTAGGTCTCTTCTGGTGGTAGCTCTAGGGGCTTCCCCTCTGCACCCTGAGCACTGGGCGTTGCTTTTCTGGGCACCGTTGCCATTTCGAGAATGCTTTGTATTTTTCTCATTTAATGCAAGGGGTTCTCTGATTGGACAAAGTGGGGAGGAGCAATGGATGGCATCTCACAACCTCCACCTCAACCAATCAGAGAATACCTTGTATTCATTGAGAAAAATACAAGGTGTTCTGTAAATGGTGGCAGTGCCTAGCAAGAAACTCCCTGTGCTCATTTTGCAGTGGGGAAGCCACTGGAACCGCCCTGTATGTAGGGCCGACTACTACAGTCATTTTCAGAATCCCCAGCAGACCCCTCAATATCAGATAGATACCTATATTGAAACAAGCTGGACTAATGTAAGTATCCATAAAATATCATTCCTGGAGTTCCGTTTTTAAAAGATTCAGATGTTGCCTTCTAAAACATGGCAAGTTAGAAGTGTTCTGTGAACCTTTTCTGCTTGAACTCCCCAGGAATCCTATTTCCTGCTTATGCGATTGGCTTACTGCTTTCTCTGTATATCTGTACTGAGCTACAAGTCGAATTTCCAGCAATCCCATCAATTTGGGCTGAATTTCTGCATAGCCAGACTACACCATGGTCTAGGGTAGCACACAACCATCCATGTTGCTGGCTGTGAGTAACACATACACTATCTTTTAGAAGGTGCCAGGTTGCTGGTTTGCTTGCATTTGCAGGCTGGCTAGATCATTTATGTTGCTGTCCCTGCAGAATTTGTTCATCTTTTGTTGTTGTTGGTGGAGTGATGTACTGAGTACAGCTTTAAGGAGCCTACAGACATACAAACATCCCGCAACCTAGATATAAAAACTGCATCTAGTGAACAGTCTATGATGTCCATAGACACCTTAAAGCTAAACGCCAGGAAGATATTATAAAAACGTTCAAGCGGTTTTATAGGTCTAGGAGCCAATCAGACTGTGCTGCATGCATTTATGCTGACAGAGAACATGCTGCTAGGAGAAGAGAGCAGAGTGAGCAGACGGATGACCTTATACCCAGTACTCGTTGGTCAACTTCGGTTGACCATAAGGAGAGGAGTCCACCTGGCTTCGGCTAG